TGTGTGGGGTTAGTGGTGGATCAGTGTGGGGGTTAGTGGTGAAGTTAGTGTGGGGGTTAGTGGTGGATTAGTGTGTGGGGTTAGTGGTGGATTAGTGTGTGGGGTTAGTGGTGGATTAGTGTGGGGGTTAGTGGTGGATTAGTGTGTGGGGTTAGTGGTGGATTAGTGTGTGGGGTTAGTGGTGGATTAGTGTGGGGGTTAGTGGTGGATTAGTGTGTGGGGTTAGTGGTGGATCAGTGTGTGGGGTTAGTGGTGGATAAGTGTGTGGGGTTAGTGGTGGATTAGTGTGTGTGGTTAGTGGTGGATCAGTGTGGGGGGTAGTGGTGGATTAGTGTGTGGGGTTAGTGGTGGATTAGTGTGTGGGGTTAGTGGTGGATTAGTGTGTGTGGGGTTAGTGGTGGATCAGTGTGGGGGGTTAGTGGTGGATTAGTGTGTGGGTTAGTGGTGGATTAGTGTGTGTGGGGTTAGTGGTGGATCAGTGTGTGGGGTTAGTGGTGGATTAGTGTGTGGGGTTAGTGGTGGATTGGTGTGTGTGGGGTTAGTGGTGGATCAGTGTGGGGTTAGTGGTGGATTAGTGTGTGGGGTTAGTGGTGGATTAGTGTGTGGGTTAGTGGTGGATTAGTGTGGGGTTAGTGGTGGATTAGTGTGGGGGTTAGTGGTGGATTAGTGTGTGGGGGTTAGTGGTGGATCAGTGTGGGGGTTAGTGGTGGATTAGTGTGTGGGGTTAGTGGTGGATCAGTGTGGGGGTTAGTGGTGGATTAGTGTGTGTGGGGTTAGTGGTGGATCAGTGTGTGGGGTTAGTGGTGGATCAGTGTGGGGGTTAGTGGTGGATTAGTGTGGGGGTTAGTGGTGGATTAGTGTGTGGGGTTAGTGGTGGATTAGTGTGTGGGGTTAGTGGTGGATTAGTGTGGGGGTTAGTGGTGGATTAGTGTGTGGGGTTAGTGGTGGATCAGTGTGTGGGGTTAGTGGTGGATCAGTGTGGGGGTTAGTGGTGAAGTTAGTGTGGGGGTTAGTGGTGGATTAGTGTGTGGGGTTAGTGGTGGATTAGTGTGTGGGGTTAGTGGTGGATTAGTGTGGGGGTTAGTGGTGGATTAGTGTGTGGGGTTAGTGGTGGATAGTGTGTGGGGTTAGTGGTGGATTAGTGTGGGGGGTTAGTGGTGGATTAGTGTGTGGGGTTAGTGGTGGATCAGTGTGTGGGGTTAGTGGTGGATCAGTGTGTGGGGTTAGTGGTGGATTAGTGTGTGTGGTTAGTGGTGGATCAGTGTGGGGGGTAGTGGTGGATTAGTGTGTGGGGTTAGTGGTGGATTAGTGTGTGGGGTTAGTGGTGGATTAGTGTGTGTGGGGTTAGTGGTGGATCAGTGTGGGGGTTAGTGGTGGATTAGTGTGTGGGTTAGTGGTGGATTAGTGTGTGTGGGGTTAGTGGTGGATCAGTGTGTGGGGTTAGTGGTGGATTAGTGTGTGGGGTTAGTGGTGGATTGGTGTGTGTGGGGTTAGTGGTGGATCAGTGTGGGGGTTAGTGGTGGATTAGTGTGTGGGGTTAGTGGTGGATTAGTGTGTGGGTTAGTGGTGGATTAGTGTGGGGGTTAGTGGTGGATTAGTGTGGGGGTTAGTGGTGGATTAGTGTGTGGGGGTTAGTGGTGGATCAGTGTGGGGGTTAGTGGTGGATTAGTGTGTGGGGTTAGTGGTGGATCAGTGTGGGGGTTAGTGGTGGATTAGTGTGTGTGGGGGGTAGTGGTGGATCAGTGTGTGGGGTTAGTGGTGGATCAGTGTGGGGGTTAGTGGTGGATTAGTGTGTGGGGTTAGTGGTGGATCAGTGTGGGGGTTAGTGGTGGATTAGTGTGGGGGTTAGTGGTGGATTAGTGTGTGGGGTTAGTGGTGGATTAGTGTGTGGGGTTAGTGGTGGATTAGTGTGTGGGTTAGTGGTGGATTTGTGTGGGGGTTAGTGGTGGATTAGTGTGTGGGGTTAGTGGTGGATTAGTGTGGGGGTTAGTGGTGAAGTTAGTGTGGGGGTTAGTGGTGGATTAGTGTGTGGGGTTAGTGGTGGATTAGTGTGGGGTTAGTGGTGGATTAGTGTGGGGGTTAGTGGTGGATTAGTGTGTGGGGGTTAGTGGTGGATTAGTGTGGGGTTAGTGGTGGATCAGTGTGGGGGTTAGTGGTGGATCAGTGTGGGGGTTAGTGGTGGATCAGTGTGTGAGGTTAGTGGTGGATCAGTGTGGGGGTTAGTGGTGGATTAGTGTGTGTGGGGTTAGTGGTGGATCAGTGTGGGGGTTAGTGGTGGATCAGTGTGGGGGTTAGTGGTGGATCAGTGTGGGGGTTAGTGGTGGATTAGTGTGTGTGGGGTTAGTGGTGGATCAGTGTGGGGGTTAGTGGTGGATCAGTGTGAGGGTTAGTGGTGGATTAGTGTGTGGGTTAGTGGTGAATTAGTGTGTGGGGGTTAGTGGTGGATCAGAGTGGGGGTTAGTGGTGGATCAGTGTGGGGGGGTGGTGGTGGATCAGTGTGGGGGTTAGTGGTGGATCAGTGTGGGGGTTAGTGTGTGGGGGTTAGTGGTGGATCAGTGTGGGGGTTAGTGGTGGATCAGTGTGTGGTGGTTAGTGATGGATCAGTGTGGGGTTAGTGGTGGATCAGTGTGGGGGTTAGTGGTGGATCAGTGTGGGGGTTAGTGGTGGATCAGTGTGGGGGTTTAGTGGTGGATCAGTGTGTGTGGTTAGTGATGGATCAGTGTGGGGGTTAGTGGTGGATCAGTGTGGGGGTTAGTGGTGGATTAGTGTGTGTGGGGTTAGTGGTGGATCAGAGTGGGGGTTAGTGGTGGATCAGTGTGGGGGTTAGTGGTGGATCAGTGTGGGGGTTAGTGGTGGATCAGTGTGGGGTTAGTGGTGGATCAGTGTGTGTGGTTAGTGATGGATCAGTGTGGGGGTTAGTGGTGGATCAGTGTGTGGGGTTAGTGATGGATCAGTGTGGGGGTTAGTGGTGGATCAGTGTGTGGGGGTTAGTGGTGGATCAGTGTGTGGGTTAGTGGTGGATCAGTGTGTAGGAGTTAGTGGTGGATCAGTGTGGGGTTAGTGGTGGATCAGTGTGGGGGTTAGTGGTGGATCAGTGTGTGGGGTTAGTGATGGATCAGTGTGGGGGTTAGTGGTGGATCAGTGTGGGGGTTAGTGGTGGATCAATGTGGGTTAGTGGTGGATCAGTGTGGGAGTAGTGGATCAGTGTGGGGGTTAGTGGTGGATCAGTGTGTGTGGTTAGTGGTGGATCAGTGTGGGGGTTAGTGATGGATCAGTGTGGGGGTTAGTGGTGGATCAGTGTGGGGGTTAGTGGTGGATAAGTGTGGGAGTAGTGGATCAGTGTGTGGGTTAGTGGTGGATCAGTGTGGGGGTTAGTGGTGGATCAGTGTGGGGGTTAGTGGTGGATCAGTGTGGGGTTAGTGGTGGATCAGTGTGTGGGGTTAGTGATGGATCAGTGTGGGGGTTAGTGGTGGATCAGTGTGTGGGGGTTAGTGGTGGATCAGTGTGTGGGTTAGTGGTGGATCAGTGTGGGAGTTAGTGGTAGATCAGTGTGTAGGAGTTAGTGGTGGATCAGTGTGGGGTTAGTGGTGGATCAGTGTGGGGGTTAGTGGTGGATCAGTGTGGGGGTTAGTGGTGGATCAGTGTGGGGTTAGTGGTGGATCAGTGTGGGGGTTAGTGGTGGATCAGTGTGTAGGAGTTAGTGGTGGATCAGTGTGGGAGTAGTGGATCAGTGTGGGAGTAGTGGATCAGTGTGGGAGTAGTGGATCAGTGTGGGAGTAGTGGATCAGTGTGGGAGTAGTGGATCAGTGTGGGAGTAGTGGATCAGTGTGTAGGAGTTAGTGGTGGATCAGTGTGGGAGTAGTGGATCAGTGTGGGAGTAGTGGATCAGTGTGGGAGTAGTGGATCAGTGTGTAGGAGTTAGTGGTGGATCAGTGTGGGAGTAGTGGATCAGTGTGGGAGTAGTGGATCAGTATGGGGGTTAGTGGTGGATCAGTGTGGGAGTAGTGGATCAGTGTGGGGGTTAGTGGTGGATCAGTGTGGGAGTAGTGGATCAGTGTGTGGGTTAGTGGTGGATCAGTGTGGGAGTAGTGGATCAGTGTGGGAGTAGTGGATCAGTGTGGGAGTAGTGGATCAGTATGGGGGTTAGTGGTGGATCAGTGTGGGAGTAGTGGATCAGTGTGGGGGTTAGTGGTGGATCAGTGTGGGAGTAGTGGATCAGTGTGTGGGTTAGTGGTGGATCAGTGTGGGAGTAGTGGATCAGTGTGGGAGTAGTGGATCAGTATGGGGGACCCACACCTGTAACAATACAGGAAAAACTATTTTCATTATAAGTCATCATTAACACAGCCAGCCTTGCTTGTCCCTACAAGTCATTGTGAATATAATGTAGGCGCCACATTATAGTCACTCTCAAATCATAGTAGCAACTTGTTAAAACTTAATTATATACAATTTTGTTAAATACGCTTTTTTTTTGCTTTTTGGGTCTTTTTTTAGTAGCTGAGCTCAGTGCTCAGTGCTCAGTGCTCAGGGCTCAGTGCTCAGTGCTCAGAGCTCAGAGCTCAGTGCTCAGAGCTCAGTGCTCAGTGCTCAGTGCTCAGTGCTCAGAGCTCAGTGCTCAGAGCTCAGTGCTCAGAGCTCAGGGCTCAGTACTCAGTGCTCAGTCTCGGGCTCCTATGAGGCCTATGGGTTGATGTATAATGGATGAATAAAGCCTTTGTGAATAATAAAGTGAAGAACCTGGCCTGCGGGGGTATATACTGTCTGGTAGGACGGTAGACTCATGATTGTCGTCTAGGGATACCATGTTGGGTTTACAGTTTGGTAAACTATATGTGTATTCAACCTTATTGATGGTGTTGATGTGATGGATTCTGTTATTAATCCCCCCACTCAACCATTAATCCGCCCACTCGACCATTAATCCCCCTACTCAACCATTAATCCGCCCACTTCCACACACCAACGTACCTAACTCAAATCCTCTGTATCTCCCACAGCTGGTGGAGATCCACGTGTATATCCTGCCACAGGATAAGTGGATCCCCTTCAGGAGACTGGCAAGGAACCAGGTGGTGGAGGAGACCGTGTCGGCAGGCTTCGTCAGGGTCCTGCCTGAACTGACCCTCCATGATCTGCGCCAGGAACTTCTGTCGCAGCTCAGTGATGATTTACCGGAGAATTACGTCTATATCAAGAGTGTCGGAAGGAATTTTACGCAGGTGAGTGGGTGAGTGTGTTCACTATCACAGTAGGTAAGGATGGTGAGTATGTCTATTGGTCATTATCACACTAGGAAGGGATGACCCTTAATTTCTAGCAAGAATTAAGGTGTTTAAATCGACTAAACGCGATATGCACACATAATCAATTGTATAATTTCATAAATACATGCTGTATTACTGTATAAATAGCGAAATATAGCTGAATTACTGTATAAAATAGCGAAATATAACTGAATTACTGTATCAGCGGATCCTGATAAAACGCTTTTGTTACCCCTGTTTTTAAAAAGAAAGAATGGAATTGAAGCGACTGGCTCAAAGAAAATGGTACTTTTTCACCTTCTACTTGGTATGACTTATGTAAATTAATTGAAGCTACTGTCTCAAAGAAAATGGTACTTTTTCACCTTCTACTTTTTTTTTTTTTTTTTTTTTTTTTTTTTTTTTTTTTTTTTTTTTTGAGATATATACAAGAGTTGATATATTCTTGTAGAGCCACTAGTACGCGTAGCGTTTCGGGCAAGTCCTTAATCCTATGGTCCCTGGAATACGATCCCCTGCCGCGAAGAATCGTTTTTTCATCCAAGTACACATTTTACTGTTGCGTTAAACAGAGGCTACAGTTAAGGAATTGTGCCCAGTAAATCCTCCCCGGCCAGGATACGAACCCATGACAACCCATGTTTGTGTTACATCTGACTTTTTGAACAATTTGTCAGGATCAACATCCTCCAAATTGTTCAGTATTTTAAAAGTTTCAATGAGATCCGCCCTGTCATGTCTGGTTTATAGTGCTGTTAGCCCTGTGGCCCTCAACCGTTCCTGATACGTGAGTTGACTTAGCGCTAGAATGATTTTTGTAGCCCGGTATTGCACTTTGTCAAGAGCAGTTATGTTAAGGCGATGAGTCACAATAACGAGGCTAAAGTATGTTGACCAGACCACACACTAGAAGGTGAAGGGACGACGATGTTTCGGTCTGTCCTGGACCATTCTCAAGTCGACTTGAGAATAGTCCAGGACGGACCGAAACGTCGTCGTCCCTTCACCTTCTAGTGTGTGGTCTGGTCAACAGCTATGTGAACAACCGTGGACATCTTCAAGAGGAAACTAGATTGTTTCCTTCAAGGAGTGCCGGACCAACCAGGCTGTGGTGGGTATGTGGGCCTGCGGGCCGCTCCAAGCAACAGCCTGGTGGACCAAACTCTCACAAGTCAAGCCTGGTCTCGGGCCGCTCCAAGCAACAGCCTGGTGGACCAAACTCTCACAAGTCAAGCCTGGCCTCGGGCCGGGCTTGGGGAGTAGAAGAACTCCCAGAACCCCATCAACCAGGTATATGTGGGCCTGCGGGCCGCTCCAAGCAACAGCCTGGTGGAACAAACTCTCACAAGTCAAGCCTGGCCTGCGGGCCGCTCCAAGCAACAGCCTGGTGGACCAAACTCTCACAAGTCAAGCCTGGCCTTCGGGCCGCTCCAAGCAACAGCCTGGTGGACCAAACTCTCACAAGTCAAGCCTGGCCTGCTGGCCGCTCCAAGCAACAGCCTGGTGGACCAAACTCTCACCAGTCAAGCCTGGCCTCGGGCCGCTCCAAGCAACAGCCTGGTGGACCAAACTCTCACAAGTCAAACCTGGCCTGCGGGCCGCTCCAAGCAACAGCCTGGTGGACCAAACTCTCACAAGTCAAGCCTGGCCTCGGGCCGGGCTTGGGGAGTAGAAGAACTCCCAGAACCCCATCAAGCAGGTATATGTGGGCCTGCGGGCCGCTCCAAGCAATAGCCTGGTGGACCAAACTCTCACAAGTCAAGTCTGGCCTCGGGCCGGGCTTGGGCAGTAGAACAACTCCCAGAACCCCATCAACCAGGTATATGTGGGCCTGCGGGCCGCTCCAAGCAACAGCCTGGTGGACCAAACTCTCACAAGTCAAGCCTGGCCTCGGGCCGGGCTTGGGCAGTAGAAGAACTCCCAGAACCCCATCAACCAGGTATATGTGGGCCTGCGGGCCGCTCCAAGCAACAGCCTGGTGGACCAAACTCTCACAAGTCAAGCCTGGCCTCGGGCCGGGCTTGGGGAGTAGAAGAACTCCCAGAACCCCATCAACCAGGTATATGTGGGCCTGCGGGCCGCTCCAAGCAACAGCCTGGTGGACCAAACTCTCACAAGTCAAGCCTGGCCTCGGGCCGGGCTTGGGCAGTAGAAGAACTCCCAGAACCCCATCAACCAGGTATATGTGGGCCTGCGGGCCGCTCCAAGCAACAGCCTGGTGGACCAAACTCTCACAAGTCAAGCCTGGCCTCGGGCCGGGCTTGGGGAGTAGAAGAACTCCCAGAACCCCATCAAGCAGGTATATGTGGGCCTGCGGGCCGCTCCAAGCAACAGCCTGGTGGACCAAACTCTCACAAGTCAAGCCTGGCCTCGGGCCGGGCTTGGACAGTAGAAGAACTCCCAGAACCCCATCAACCAGGTATCAACCAACCAGGTATGTCTTTCTGAAGATGAGGTCACCGTGCTTGGGTACAGCCCTGCAAGTTACATATGTATCCATGCTTAGATACAGTAATATAGTTGTTCAATTGAATAACTACGTTCTTTATCTTGGAGTCGAAGGTACGCTTGCTTATTCCAAGCGTTTGGTTAGGGAACAGGTCGGCCGAGCGGACAGCACGCTGGACTTGTGATCCTGTTGTCCCGGGGTCGATCCTGAGCGCCGGCGAGAAACAATGGGCAGAGTTTCTTTCACCCTATGCCCCTGTTACCTAGCAGTAAAATAGGTACCTGGGTGTTAGTCAGCTGTCACGGGCTGCTTCCTGGGGGTGGAGGCCTGGTCGAGGACCGGGCCGCGGGGACACTAAAGCCCCGAAATCATCTCAAGATAACCTCAAGATAACCCTATGCCCCTGTTACCTAGCAGTTAAATAGGTACCTGGGTGTTAGCCAGCTGTCACGGGCTGCTTCCTGGGGGTGGAGGCCTGGTCGAGGACCGGGCCGCGGGGACACTAAAAAGCCCCGAAATCATCTCAAGATAACCTCAAGATAACCCTATGCCCCTGTTACCTAGCAGTAAAATAGGTACCTGGGTGTTAGTCAGCTGTCACGGGCTGCTTCCTGGGGGTGGAGGCCTGGTCGAGGACCGGGCCGCGGGGACACTAAAAAGCCCCGAAATCATCTCAAGATAACCTTTGAACAATTAGCATCTGAAAGTCGTGACTTAGAATGCTTATAGGACGACTATCTGGCTCCTTCAGTATCATGTGTGATTGACTCTCGTTGTATGTAAAATAGATTAAATAACAATATACAGTCTCCGTGGTGTAGTGGTAAGACACTCGCCTGGCGTTCCGCGAGCGCTATGTCATGGGTTCGTATCCTGGCCGGGGAGGATTTACTGGGCGCAATTCCTTAACTGTAGCCTCTGTTTAACGCAACAGTAAAATGTGTACTTGGATGTAACAACGATTCTTCGCGGCGGGGATCGTATTCCAGGGACCATAGGATTAAGGACTTGCCCGAAACGCTACGCGTACTAGTGGCTCTACAAGAATGTAACAACTCTTGTATATATCTCAAAAAAAAAAAAAAAAAAAAAAAAAAAACACATAAATAAAATAAATTAAATAAAACGTTTATGATGATACAATAGCAAGATACAACCAAATAACAACATTAGGGGTTTATTGCAAATACAATAACACACTTAATCTGGCAGTCTATTTGGCTTTATTTCATACATTTATGCATTGATTTTTGCCTTGTAATTGCTTCTAATTATGAATCTGATATCGTTTTCGATTTCAGTAATATTTCGCTGATATCTAGTAACTCGTTATCATCATTAACTGGCATCTTGAGGTTGTCTTGAGATGATTTCGGGGCTTTAGTGTCCCCGCGGCCCGGTCCTCGACCAGGCCTCCACCCCCAGGAAGCAGCCCGTGACAGCTGACTAACACCCAGGTACCTATTTTACTGCTAGGTAACAGGGGCATAGAGTGAAAGAAACTCTGCCCATTGTTTCTCGCCGGCGCCTGGGATTGAACCCAGGACCACAGGATCACAAGTCCACCGTGCTGTCCGCTCGGCTCCATCATAACATTTGTTAGCAATAAACTGAGTCTACCAGACATTAGACCATTTCATCTTGTTTCAAGAGCAGGATAGACATATACATTAATGTGTTTGGGTGGATATAAATAGGAACTGCCACGATAAACCATTCACCAGGGCTTAAGGAGACTCGAACCCTGGACCCCCACGTATGTGAGACCCGAAGCTCTATCGACCGCGCTATTAATTGGCCTTAATAAGAAAAAACTCTGGGCGGTGTCCCTAATTTTTAGGTTTGATCGCCTCACTATAGTGTTTCATTATATAATTATGGCTAATCTTATTTTCTTGCATCTTATTTGGCTAGTGTTAAAACAGTTCCACATTGTCTACTTTGGCAAGGGTTTGAAGGATCTTGTATGTTGGGATCATGTCATCTCTCACTGTTCTAATGTTGGATAATTCAGCTTACTCGCTATTCCCTCACACTCCAGTCCTCTCATGACAGTCTGATGAGTTGCCAGTACTGGGGGCTGAGTACTGTAGTACTGGGGCTGAATACTGAAGTACTGGGGCTGAATACTACAGTTCCGGGCGCTGAGTACTGTAGTACTGGGGGCTGAGTACTGTAGTACCGGGGCTGAATACTGAAGTACTGGGGCTGAATACTACAGTTCCGGGCGCTGAGTACTGTAGTACTGGGGGCTGAGTACTGTAGTACTGGGGCCGAGTACTGTAGTACTGGGGGCTGAATACTGAAGTACTGGGGCTGAATACTACAGTTCCGGGCGCTGAGTACTGTAGTACTGGGGGCTGAGTACTGTAGTACTGGGGCCGAGTACTGTAGTACTGGGGCTGAATACTGTAGTACTGGGGCTGAGTACTGTAGTACTGGGGCTGAGTACTGTAGTACTGGGGCTGAGTACTGTAGTACCGGGGCTGAATACTGTAGTACCGGG